TTTGTGCCATGTAGTCCCCAGTCAGTTCCAAACTTGGGGGTGGCAAACTGTGTTCCCTGTGCCTTCGAGATAAGGTCAGCATCAAAGGATTTCTGCTTAGATGTTAAGAGAGTTCAAACCGATATTCACCTATTCCTAACTCTCAACATGTTATAAATAATACTAGCATATAAAAGATGAGACAAGTGGCTGTTGCAGAGGTTTGATCAGCAAAAAACCTTAAAAAGAATTAGGTAAGTTATATCCTTAGAGCTGTAACATAAAATTTGGGACGTCCTGTTTTGCTAAACTATTGTTCTCCATTGTATCTAGTTTTATTTGTATTTCCATATTGATTTTGAACATTGTATATGTATGGGAGCTAATATTTACAGATAGAAAGCAAATGTGAGTACATTTGATAAGTAATGTCTTTTCCTCTTTTTATCTGTCAGTGACAGTTGTTTTCAATCCCTTTGCAGTGTTTGAGTTGTAGATTGTATTTATTTTGAAAGCTGGAGTGATCCAAGGACAACTGGTGTTTGTAAGTTTTGTTTGCCAAAACTAAGTGGCTTCTTGTTGGCTAGATATAAAGCACAGACATAATAAACATGAATGGTCCCATAAAGATGCCTGTTTGGCTCTGTTGTCCAAGCAGCTCTGTAGCTGATGAACAGCTATTAAAAGTAGTCAGTAATAGATCAGGAAATACTGACTTACAGATGTCTGAATGGTAGCTCGAGGTTTTGTGGTTGGGGTTTTTTTTAGGATCATGAGCTTTGAGACTGCTGAGCGACCTACCTGAAAATACACAAACGCTTGAAAGGATGCCATGCTTTGTATAAATTTATGCATGAATGTAATTTCAAATCCAGCTTCCACACTGTTTGAACATAAAACGTGGTGTCCTTTGTAATGGTTGCCAGAGTAATCATGACACTGATTTAACTGTTTCATGGAATTAGTTGCCATAATCTACAATTCAAATGCAAAATTGACACTTTCTCATTGTTAAGGTTGTGTATTATGGAATTATCAACACCTTCTGTTAATGACAATAAGAAGCAAATTGTGCAGATCTGACTTGCAAACACAAAATCAGGTTAATTTGATAAAATGCAGATTTGCTAGAGTTGACAAGTTTTTCTTTCCTATACGATATAGGTGGCTTCCTGCTTCTTGCATTTGCTTTGTTGTTCAGTCCTTGCATGGCAAATAAAAGCAAAGCTCACTGGGTGACAAAACTGCGTCCAGGTGCATAGCGTTGGTGTTGGAAAGCCATGCTCGCTGGTGAGCTCCGAGGCCCTCCCTGTAGCTGACCTGGCACTATGGGACTGCAGCAATTTTCTAAAGGTTGTAGGTCATCCCCATGGAGCCCAGGGAGGGGGGATGACAAAAGCTATCCCTCTTGTCATTCTGGATGCATCAGCATCCTGGCACATCAGCAGACAGCACAGACGAGGTACTTGGGTAGCCCAATAACAAGCCCTGCTCAGAAGAGATGAGGTCAGATCAGCAAGACTGTGGAGGAGTGCACAGAGGAGTGGAGAGACTCTCAGAGGAAGTGACCAAGGCTACATGCATGGAGTATTTTGGAGGTGCTTATGCACTTATTCCTCCCGTGCTGTGAGCCAGATAGAGGTGAGCTTAATGTGAACCAAGAGGCATGAGACCAAGCTGCTGCCATCATCAAAGCCCATCAGTTCAGGCTCAGAAATGTCCTATCCAGGTCTGCACAGCATCCAGTGTGCATCTGGCTGTCACCCAGCCAGCTAGCTGCATGGGGAGAGCATGTGCATATTTGCCTGTGAAAGGCTGTATAAACATACCCTGGAAGAGCTTGGCTTGCTAATCTGATGACACACACAGGATGGAAGGAGAAAGAGGCATTTAAAGTCAAGGACAAGGATGTCACAGGAGCAAACACGTACAAATTAGCCTCAAGTATACTTAAACTGGAAATCTGAAGGGGTTTTTTAGCCATCAGAGAGCCAGGTTCTTGTGCAGTCTTTCAATAAGCAGAAGAGGCGCAAAATGACAACTACTTTCAGGATAGGGTTTGTTAATTTTAGGATGGAAATTAGATGGCATGCTTGTTGTAGCGGAGAATTATTGATCAAGCTTTCAGATAAATTGAAACCCGGAGCCCTCTCCCCTCCCCAAGATAAAACTCATTGCAAATGAAGCATAAAAATAATTTTATTCGTATGCATGCCTTAGTTCTGTTATACCTGTATGTCTTCTGCTTTTATTCAAAGTCTTCAGTTTGTTCTGTCAAATTAATTTTAAATTCTAGGGATTTGCTCCAAAGGGAAAAAAAAAAGGGGGGGGGGGGGGGA